ACTCATCTTTCTCCCATAGAGCAGCTCACAGATTACAAACTTCAACTTCTTGGTTATCAGCCAAGTTCTTCAAGTGCAGCACCACCAGGACTTCTTATTATTAGCCTTCTAGTGAACTACAGCTCCTAGCAACACCATAAACAACAGACCTGACCTTGGCCTGTCCTGTACAGAATCTCCATCTCCACTATCCTCAAGCCCAGAGTTGGACTCATTCTGTTAATTCACCTCATTGAAGGTCTTCTCTTTTGTTGACCCTCTACCACTCTGATGTCTTTTTGCCAAAGACTGGATTCTCCTGACAACATGCCTGACACACGTGGTGTGAAGTTTCACCGTCCTTGCCTCTGAGGAAGACCTTAGTTGCTCTTCCTCCAGATTTGCTTATTCTTTTGGCAGTTCAATACTCTTCATCAACACCACAATTTAAAAAGTACCGATTAGTCTTAGGTCTTCCTTATTCTTTGTCCCAACTTTCAGATGCAAGCAACTAAAAATGCTATGACTTGGATTAGGCGCATCTTAGTCTTTACACCGACATCCCTGTTCTGTAACACTTTAGGAGGTCCTTGATGGTAGATGTGGCCAGTGAAGCATATATGTTGATTTCCTGACTGCTGCTTCCAGTGGTGTTGATTGTAGATCCAAGTAAAATGAAATTGCTGACAACTTCAATCCTTTATCCATCTATCAGGATGCTGCCTATACCTCAAGTGAAGAGGGTTTTTATTTTCCTGAAGTTGAGATGTAACCCATATTAAAGGCTATAGTCTTTGATATTTTTCTCCCTTTCGGTATCAACATAACTTTTCTTTTACAGACAACCTGATGCTACACCTTGGCTCTGAATCACAAAAATGTATTTCCTCCATCACCCATTTAACCACACGCAATCCATTCATCCATCATCCTTCAATTCCCTTTTATATCCACCCATCATCCATCCACAATCCACCCATCCATGATCATCATCCATCTATTCTTCCATCCACAATCTATTCATCCGTCGTGATCCATTCCTCATATACTCATCATCCCTCCATACATCCACCCATCCACACACTAACGTATTTCCTCCATTATTATGTCCCGGGACACACTATACGTATATCCAATCTATATCACAAATGAATAGCAATATTCACATTCTTGTCATCAGTGGTGCCTCTCTGTGGTGTTCTCGCCATGAGTGAGAGTGAATGATCTGCCTAGTGTCTTAGCTTACTTTGAAAGATCTGGCACTTTTTTTCTTTTCCCCAATCCTCGAGCTTGGCCTTTCTCTGCGATTTCACAGCCATTTATGCGGTTCTCGATGGGACTGTCGAACATCCCTTGTTAACTATTCCCCTGTAGGTATTTTATAGGGCTGGTTGTTACTTTATTTCCAATTTCAATTTTTAATTGGCTTTTATAGGTTGTCTCACAAATGGTTACTGTGGTTCCCAAGTGATAAAAATTCAATTCAGACTTTCTATTTATAACAAAAAGGAGAGGTGGGATTTACTATCTTATTAAATTGAAAAGTTGAGGTCTAGCAAGATTCAGGACTCAGATGACAGTAGGCCTCTGTTTACCCTTTCAGAATACATGTGGACTGCCCGGAGAATTAAACATCTATCTTGGAAGAAGAACAAACAAAACTTTCCTTGGAGGTGAGGATAGTGAGATTTTCCCTCGTGTACTTCGGTCCTGTTGCCTATCAAACAGAGCCCATCTGTGGAGAAGGACATCCTGCTTTGTAACAAATTCAGAAGAGAGATACTAGGGGAGCTCTGGTGGCCTAGTGGCAAGAAGCTGCACTGCAATCCCAGAGGCACACGGTTCAAATCCACCAGATGCTCTGCCGGGAAAAGGAGGGACAATCTCCTCCTGTACCAGTCAGATCTGATTTGACAGTACACGCACATACACACACAAAATAATAAAATAATAATAAAA